CAAGCCCTGGGAGTGTTGAAAAAACGGGTAGACGTGGCACTTGGGGACATGGTTGGTGGTGTTGGGTTGATGATTCCTAGTTTTTAGTTTCATTAAAAATAATCCAGCCACCAAGTCAGGAAACCTGAAATTGCTACTCTACCTTTAATTGGTTTAGTGGTGGACTTGGTAATGTTAGGTTAATGGTTGGACTGGATGATCTTAAAGGTCTTTTCCAACCTAAACAATTCTATGATTCTAAACACTATCTATCTCCCATTTTCCTTCATATCTTAGTTTTTACCACTGTTCCACAGAAACTTACCCTTCGTAAGAGACAAAAACGAGAACCAGGGGAAAAAAATCCTTGAGGTTGAAATGTGAATGTACCTGGAAATGAAGTAATAACCTTTCCTTTTCAGTAGACTACCAGTTTTCCTTGGTTCAAAATAGAAGTATTTCTGATTATCAAATACAGAGATGGGTAAGTTGCATTACCTGAGGTGAATTTTGTGTAAGAGCATAATGAGTGTGAACCTCCTGAATACTGTGCTTTCTGCTTTGAAGAAACCTTGAAGACAGTTGCCCAGTTAACACTTAACTAACTTTTCTGTGCACATGATACAGGTTTGAATTAATTATTGTTTGGAAGATACATATAGATGAAGAAGGGAAAACTACGCCTGTTCTGGACCTTCTGACTAAAGTACCGAAGCAAGGTAACATCATTTACTTCAGCGACCATTTCAGAGCTTTCAAGTAGAATGCCTGTCCCCTTTTTTTGGCAAACATCGCTTTAGATAAAATGCAAATCCATCTTGCAGAGCCCAACCAGGCAAACAAATCCCAATTTAGCAAGCAGCTAAGCTTCACCTCCTGTCTAATTTAAAAGGGCTTACAAAAACAAGTATGTCTGCCTCTTCTCGACAGCAGGTAACCTGTTTTATCCAAAAATGCAATTGCTGACAGCTACTTTCTGTAATAGTGCAGCTGTCTGAAAATAAACTTGACTGTTACCATTTTCTTGCAGTCTCAGAGCAGAGGATGGCAACTACTGAAAACGCACCCGCCTGCTTCCGAAGCATGCTGCTTCTGTTTGGGATTGAGACAGCTATCGAGAATCTGATCAAAGTGGTTGGCTTGGAAAAATGAATACCAGTATTACTTACAACAGGTAGCAATTTCAAAAGTAGTTTTAATTAAGATATTGTGTTACACAGTCTATAATTTTATTGAATATAAACATTAAGTTATTTTCCATTTAGAAACCATACTCATAAAACATGCTATCTGTACAGTTATGGCACGTTATATATAAATTGTCATGACATGAAAATAAATACAGCCATTTAAATACAAAAATGCCAAATAAAATAGTTACATGTACAGAGTGATTTCATTATAAATTTATCTTTCTGAATCATTAATGTACCAGAGTGGTTTATCTTCTTAACATTTTCTAGATACCTGGAAAATGTTAAAAGATCATGCACTGTCAAAATCAAGTCCATAAAAATCCATTTCATTTCACAGCTCTGTAAAAGTACAGTGATTTTAAAATGACAAGAGAACAGTAAGAGACTCGTAGAACAAAGAGTTAAATAGCTTTCTCATTAAATTAAGGTAGAAGCAGACAAATTGAAGATTTCAAAGACGTACTATGCAAAAAAAAAAAAAAAAAAAAAAAAAAAGAAGGGTAACTGTATGAAGTAACTTTTTTCCACAATGTAAGTGTTGCGTAGAGACAGCATTAAACTAAACAAGAAAGGACCATTACACTTCTGTAAAGAGATATTGACGAATTAACTACTGCTCACTGCAGTACTTCGTTTTGATTTCCTACTTCTAGGGGGAAATTCTAGTAGGTAACACATTACAAAAGCATCACATTTCATACATTCATCCCTGATGAAACAAAACAGATTTAGACAGATGTCTTGTAACCTTCCTTCACTTCCATCAGATGTACCATCAGCTCATTTGTGAACTCTCAGCATTTTTCAAGAGTTCCTGCTCTGCACTAGCTATCACAACCAACCAACCTTATCCAAACCAAACCTATATAATTGTAAGTCACCTCCTTCTTAGATAGGAAGCAACAGTTGTTGCTCCTGGCATTGAGGGGCCAAAAACACACACTATGGACTCTCGAGTAGTATTAAGACACTTCCTTTTCAAGTCCATAGCTGCTCCAACCATGCAAGCAGTACAACTGCCTGCTCCATTTAGAAGTTATGACAAAGTACTTTATAGCAATGGTGAAATAGGTGGAGAAACCAAGAACTAAAGCAACAGTATGTTTATAATACCATAATTTTAATAATCCACTATTTGATCACTGAAATAGGCTCCTGCTGGTCTGGTAGGTGAGGAAAAAGTGACAGACCAGATTGGTTTCTGTCAGAATCTACAGCTGAGCAATGCCAGAGATTAAGTTTTGATGAACAGCAACTCTATAATAAAATACTTTGTTAGATATAAGGCAGACCAATTTCAAGTTTGGAATCCAGTAGACAGGAAAATTCACTGCTACTTTATCCACTGACATGTTACTGGTTTAGCTAGTTTTGTGTAACCTTTAGTTTTTTTTGTCTTTAGCTCCTTCTTGCATGAAAATGAAACTGTTTGATCAAGCACATACACTTCTGTTTGCATATGAAATGTGTGTAAATTTACAGCATAAAAATCTGAAAATTTTCCAGCTGTGGATAGTCCTTCTTTCCTCCTCTTGCCTAACAGTTGGAGGATTTCTGGATTTAAAAATAGATCTCCCTCCCCCAGGTTTTCTTTGGAAAGAAGGGGTTAATACCACTGTCAACTACCAGCTTATTGCACTGTTGTAGTATCACATTTCAGTGAGAGCAGCCCAGGACTCTGTCCCAGAAAGGCACACTGTCACCTGGGAGTGGAATACAAGAGCTTGCTAACACAGGTCACTGCCCACGGCAAAGCTCTATTGCTGTGTGAGTGATGTTACTCTCTATTTCATATTTCTTCCTCAAGTTGTACCAATATACAGGGGTTTCTGGTTTTGTGTTTTCAATGGAATAATTCAAACATTACATTGAGATCCCAATATAAATATCTTTTTTTAAATGTTAACCTACACTAGTTTGAAAAACATTACCAGTAAGCACACACTGTGTCCAGGTAACAGCAGGTCACTGTAGCTTGAGGATCTCTGCACGCGTCAGGGTGTGTATTCCCTAAGCGTAGGGGAAAAGTGTCTGTGGATTTTATCATACTACCATCAGTTTTGAGTATATCCTCAGTCTCTAGCTCAGGATCTTCCTCGAGGATGGCTTTTACTGCAGCATCTCGCAAGACTTCAACTGCACATGCCAATGTTTACAAAGTAAAGCCATCATTAAATTGCTGAAGTAGTGATACAAGCTTAGCTCCAGTACTCATTGTGAGAGTGGGACCCCCTGAAGCTTCAGAAAATCCATCACCTTTTTTCTGTGTCACTTAAAAAGGATGAGCCTGAAAGCATGCTCTTGCTACACAGTATGTGGGATACCAGTGAAATAGTGCCAACGTTTGACACAATCCAAAAGACCTGAAATAATCTGTAAAACTCAGAATATATTATTTTTATAGCTGAATTTAAATTAGGTAAGAGCGAGCTGTGGCTTCACCTTCAGTAGCAGCATATAATGTATAGAAAATAAAAGACCAATATGTCAGACGAGGTAAGCCCAGCTATCACATAAAATTCAAAGACGCTTACCTTTAACCCTTTGCACTTAGTTTCAGAAGGTTTAGGTAGATACAAGGTGATCACAAAACTTCTGGAGGCAGTCTGGTGTTCTTAATCTCATGCATTAGTACTTAAAAGTGTTCTGCACTAACACAGTAGTTCCATAGATTACTAACGCTTGAGCAGCCACTTCAGTTGTATTTTCAGTGGACTTAATGCTAACGTTTTATATTGGGTTTTGTCAGAGCATTCCCTCTTCCTAGTAGGTATGAGTGAGAATCAAAGCACAAGCTCCAAGGCAATTCTCTTGTTAGTAATTAGGCTTTCTACGTTAGTGCAGTACTTCAGGAAACCTTCAATTCTGTGCTCTTTCAATTCTAAGGAAGTAGACTTTTAGTATACATTTGATCTGTCCTCTAGTTCCAAGGTATGGCACATTATCTGTTCTGTCATATTAAATACATTCATTAAGGTTATATAGCAAATGCATGTTTTAGTGCTACTCCATGTCTTTGAAAAGGCATACCAATTAGAAATCAGTTCTTAAAGCAAAAACATTCACAGCTGAAAAATGCACTGAACACAATAGAAAAAAAATCACCATAATTGTATTCCATTAATGTTTCACTTTCTAATGTGTTCGAATAAAAATAACCTTAAGGAAACGGTTACACTTTATGGAGAACTAATGTGCAGTCTTCATTCTCCTTGAAGAGACTGGACATAACTGGGTCATCTTTGGCCTGTACATTCTTCAAATAATAGTTTACTATCTTGCCATCAAGTTTGTACTGATGAGGAATGCTTTCGTAGGGTTTTAGATCAAGGTCCAGGACAGAAACAGAAAAGGTGAATCTTGATTTGGACGTTAGTACCACAGGTCTCTGCTCAGAGCTGAAAAACAAAACCGTATTGCACATCTGAGTCACTGAAGCTAACGTTTTTTCATTTGTGTATCCTGCGTCCCCTTGCAAAAAGACTCTCTAATGAGAGCCTAAGAAAATAAACTTCAGCTAGTGTAGCATTTAGGAAACTATAGCTCCAGCTTAACTAGTCTTAAAGCGAACTTGCTGGTGCCTCTTCCAGTCATTTTCCTTTCAGCTTCCACACAGCTTAAGTCAAAATATTACTCTCAATTACTGCGTCTTTGTATTTAGTAAGCCTAAACTGTTTCTAGGTGATGTGCATACAAAGCAGTAGCCTTATTAACGAGCAGAAGCAGAAAGAATCACTGCAACTCCTACTTAGGTTCAAGGTAATACAAATCTAGTATCAGAACTAGTGTCCAAGCATACTGAAGGATGGAGGACTTACTATTAATAAAAGTCAACCATTGCACAAGTCATCTCCCTCATGAACATTTCATTCAAGAGCTGCAGGGCAAACACAGAAAACAATATTCTCTAAAAATAACTAGGCTTTGGTGAAGCAAATTCCCCCACATAAGAACAGACTATAATACTGTGGCAAAGCCTCCTGCCTTACAGTGAAAGATGTCACCTCTTGATTATTGCCTTGTTTTTACTGATGTGCTTAATAAAGACTTCTGTTTTCTCATTAGGCAGTTAAAGGCAACTCATCTTGAAAAATCTCTCATATGAGGACACCAAGGCAAAAAATTTGTACCTGTTTAAAACCACGTGTATCTACTACAAACAGTCAATTCAGATTTCAAGAAGGGAGTAAATACAAAACCTTAACCTTTTTTAGAAACTTAAAACTTCAGAAACAGACTTCTGTCCTGAATGTCTTAAATCAGAACTCTACCTTATTAATATGCTCACAGCCAAGTATTTGGACATCCCCCCCAAAGCCCCCCACTTTTTTTAGAGTTACTTGAATTGACTGAACTGTGCAAACGCCTCTTCAATTTCTAAAAGTAGGTCTCCCTTACCATTCATCTTGTAGACAGGGAGAAAGGGCAATCATGATGGAGCAGTCTTTAGCAGTCATTGCTATTCTGTACTGCTGCACCTATACAACACAAAAATAACATGAATTTTCTATTGTATTTGCCTTCGTAAAGCACACTGTTCTTTATAAAAAGCATTAGTATACTTAGTGTATTACTATGATGGCATTTTAAGAGCTGGAAATTCTGAGATTGTTAGCAGGAGCAAGTGGTTTCATAGCATCCTGTATAAGAATCATGGTTATTTCCTACAGATACTTTTCTTGAAGGCCAAAACAGCACCAGTTCATGCAAATGCTTCCTCAGTTTAGAAAGGAAATAACCAGCTTTATTTTTCTCTCCAGAACTGGTGCTAAGCATTTTTGTTTTTAACTGCTTCTGCTATCAAGGTACACCCTGGCACAATTATGAACTTTAACCATACAGATGTCTGACAAACCAGCAGTCATACTAACACACTATCCATCCATTTCCATTAGACAGGTGTTTATTAAAATTGACAGACTAAATAAGCTTCAACAACATGCACAGGAGAAGTACCTTTGTTAACGCAAATGCTACTGTCCCATCATCTTCAGTTGAAAGATCTAGCAGCTTCTCATAAAATGCTTCATTGTAAGGTCCATCTATCTGTAATGTACTTCTAAATAAATTTTAAAAGAGGATTTACAGACAGCCAAGATGATTTATTGATTTTCAGTGAGATCTTTCTTCAGCAGCCCAGATATTCATAAAAAACAGTAACACCAATAAACATGGCAACAGATTAATACTCAGAGGTCTAACACCATGACCAGTCCCTATTCTCACATCACTTAAGATATGCTGTTTAATGTTGATTTGTTTGCTTTTTAAAGATGAATAGTTCTTAATCCACTGCCACCTGTGTATCACTACAAGAACAGTATTTTTTGCAAAAATGGGTAAGTTTCAAAATTTGTAACAGTTTGCAGGAGCTCCCAGAAGACCTACTGAAAACATTGGGGGTATACACTTATCTGACAAGGCCCTGCTCTGCCCCCAGCTTCATAATGTGTGCTAACAAGGGGATGGTTTATTTGGCCTCCATCCTTCCCATGTTAAATACCCGAATGCCTGATGAAAAGCTGAACCCATAAAAGCGGGGTTTGCAGGGTACAAACACCCACAGATGAAAGAATACATTTTCAAATTATTTGTTTAATGTATAAATATACAAGCCACACTGCAAGTGATTTAAGCAGAACTTAATGCCAACCCACTGCCCATAAGATAACCCTTCACCTCCAACCAGAGTCTAAGAGAGCTGAAGGAGCACAAGCAGCAACATCTTGCAAGTGAGGCCAGCGTGCCCTCGTGTGAGCAACAGCAGAATTACAGGCAAATTACAGACGGAGAATACAAGAAGCATCCAAGTTAAGGTTTTTTTTTCTAGAGATTATTATTACAACTAATAAGCTTTATTTGAGAGCAAACATAGCAGCTTGCAATGCCCCGTATTTCTTCACCAGGCAAGAAATACCGTAAGATAACGATTCTTGTGCCTCAAGTATGATTTGATCACTTGTAATGTGGGTTACAATCTGGCTTTTGGAGCTACTCTCAGCACATAACAAGGGCAGGCTGGACAACAGCAGACACTGGGCCATTACCCACCCACACCTTCTGTAAAATCTTGCAGGCACAGGCTGGATTGCTGCTCAATACCAAGTTCGGGATTTTAAAGGGCAGGCTGCAGGTAGACTAATACAGACTTGAGAATGACTGCAAAAACATTGTTATTACTGCAGACATAGTCCTAGCTCTGCAGGTACTGAAGGCCGGAGAAACCAACCATCCATTTTACTGTATCTTTCCTCAAATATACAACCTCCACTACGAAGGAACAGGGCATTTTCTGTCTTACCCTGTTATGAACTTCCCATACTCATTACTTAAAAATTCAGGTCAAAGTTACTGACATCAAAACTTTTAACAACAGAACTCATCTCTTATGTTATCTGGCATTTCAAGTTAGAAATTCAGCATGCACAATACCATGAAAGAAGGCTGTATACAACATAACAAGAGAAAACAAAATGGCTGTGTCAGCATAGAGCCACTCTTGTCTGCATACCTACTTAATCAGCACTAAAAAGAAAAGCCATCAAGTCTTACCTCTCTTCAGGAAATTCCTCTAAGTACTGTTCAACTCTACTGTACAAAGGATAGAGTCCTTCAATATCCAGCATGTCAAGCATCTGAGCCTGAAGGGTTTTATAAAGGAGACAACCCCTCGGTAAGCCAGAGCTTTCCGATTTATGTTTACCTAGAAGAAAATGTATTTTCAAGTAAGGCAGACACAAGGGTCATCTTTGCTTCATTTTGCCATTACATGTGCTTGTTCACAAAGCAAATCCAAATACTCTTTAGACCAATCACAGGGGGGAAAAAAAACCCAAACCAAAACACTTCCGTTTCCAAACACTAATGTACCAGGTGCATGTACTTACCTGCACATTTAAACAGCACGTATTCGCAGAATAAAACACCTGGTATACAATAAAACGCCTGGTATACAACTCTACAAATTACTCTAAAACCACCAAACCCAAAACCCACACACTTCCAATTGCAATCTACTTGTTTTGAGTCTACAAGAGAAATTTTTCATATGAGTTTGAAGCCACCACAAATTCATTTTCAACAGTATGAACTGTTGGCAGAAAGTGATTTAGCATTTCAGATGTCGGGTCTTTTTAATATCCTATAAACAGATTTGTATTTACTATCATTTCTGTAAGATAGCTCTTTCTCCACACAATACAGCAAAACCAACCAGCAAAAAGATCTTCCTCAAAAGCAGAGTAAGAAATGCTGTTCGTGTAATTAGGATAACTAGCAGCATCTTGAATTAGAGCTTTACAAAACCTACACACTGAGGAATTAACATGATTTACAGTTTTGCAACTCTTGTTTCCCATTTCTTTTCCCTCCAGTATTCATACCTTTCTCTTTACTGGGAGTGGAGTAGTAGAAGAAAACAAAATGAGCTACTCCCTAGCTGGCGAGGGCTGACAGGAGGAGCAGGGAAAGGCAAGAAATGTGTGTCATGTAACAAACCAACCAGCCAGACTTCATCACATACAACACAAAAATTCCCCAGTCATTTTGAATACTTATGATGGTTATCAGCTCAAACTGGCATTTTCTTCCATTTTTCCTCCACCACCTTCTGAATTTATTTTTATCCCTGTCATTAGGTACAGTGCTGAAAGTGCTCACTACACAGTCATTAAAAAGCAATTATCTAGCAGTTATACAGCTCAGAACTAATTTTTAAAATGTCACTAAACTCCACTGTTTCCGTTCTCACATCAGTATTAAAGAGCAAATGAGAGGCAAAGATCTGAATTGTTACGTGGTAACAGTTAGTTATTGACACTGCTCAAGCAATTATTTCTTACCATTTCTTACTAGCTCCTTATTAAAAGCACTTGCTTCACAGTAGCTTCTTCCTTGTGAAATGGGAACTGTCTTCATATCACCTGCCCTGCAGGCATCAGTACTACTTAGTAGCGTCATAGTTATCACGTGGATTAGTTCTTTAACAATTGTCCTTGTACAGTGTGGTCCACTGACCAACCCGTTGGAAGGAAAAAAGAAAGGTTTTAAGTGACGAGCAAGTTCGTTCCAGTCAGAGACACAGTCCTGGTCATCTTTACAGCCATAAATTAGTTCCCCATTCTGCAAATGAGAAAAAAAGATTTAGGCACTTCATGAAATCCAGTTATTTGTACTTAGCTAATCAAAGCATCAGATTTAAAGACACGTATCACACAAAATGTATTGGTGTAACAGTCTGCATACAAATACACACATTATTGCCAATCTCTTACAAATTTGCCCTCAAGTTCAATCAGATACTACAGGTGACAGCCTTGGAGTTAGGACCAAAAAGCCCATTTAAGTCAAGTGGTACTCTCCCAACTTAATCAACTGTAAGTAATCAGAATAATAAAAATGAACTGATACTTAGCACATTTTCCTATCGCTTCTTTCTGAATAATGTCAAGGGTGAAAAAGCACCATGTGAAACAACTTTCTTTTAAAAGCCAAATTGGAAAACGGAAAGCTATAGAAAAGGGACAGAAAAGGTGTGATAGTTACCTGTACTAATAGAAAAAACAGGACAGTTCATGCAAGGTTAGGTAATTCAAATAGTTGCTTTAATACTGGAAATAAGTTGTAAAGAATCTTATTTCTTAGAATTAATCTGAAAATCTGCATAAGCCATCAGTTACTGCTTTATATTTTTCCTACGTTACTTCCATAAAAAAGGTAACTTTTTACTTCCTCAGTGAAGCATGCTGTGCATTTGGCACAAATAAAATATAAAACATTTGCAGCAACATGCAAAGTTCTCTATCTTCTTCCTCCTGAAGAAGCACATCAAGTTTTAAAACTTTGGTCATCTTTAAAAGTCCTATTAGTTGTTCCTTGGCAATCCTTTCAGAAGTAGTTCTGGGAAATTATTACTTACCTGTCCTAACCTGAAATCTAACTAAGAATTTTCCCGTTTTCTTCTTTTGGTGGGGTCCAATAGTGATGGTGCCAATTACACAGGTTTGAAGTAGGATCTTGACTGTTCAGATGCTGAAGTCAAATTGTTTAAAAGCAAAGACAAAAAAAGCAAGCAGAGAGATTTGATTGTTTACCTTAAATATTTTCAAGTTGTTCTGTGCCTCCTGTAATAAGCTCTTCAGAGCAAAGTGCATTCTCTGTTTATTTCTAGGGGAGAAAAAAAAAAACATAAATCCAAGAATGTTTTATCACAGCCTTTAGATGTTTACACCCATGCCTGCAGGGCTCTATGGAATCAGAATTGGGCACCTGAACACACCCATTAAGCCTGTTACTCATGCTGAAGTCACTGCAAAGACAAAGTGACTACTTGCAATTAGAACTTCAGATCTGAGTAAACAGCTCTTAGGTTTCATGTTATGTAGCAAAAGGCACTGGTACGTTAATAAGCAACTCTGATTCCTGAAATAGGTGTAAAGACGTATATAGCACCAGAAATATCCACTGTACAAGTCCGGCAAGCAGGCACTGATCATCCTTAACACTACGGTGAAAGTCAGAGTAATCTGAGAAAGAAATCTGTAACACAGATTTTTTGGCAAAAACATAGAATCAAGTCACACGCTTCCTTACCCTGAGAAGAGATCCAATGGGCAATATTTACTTGGTCGCTTCCATTTTCCATTCGCTACCTGTTGAAAACCCATACCACTGCTGTTAATCACTTTCTGGAATAACTACTCTCAGTTATTTTAAGTCAGGTGTGGGGCACTAATATCCTGTCTTCAGAAATCCTGTGACATTTAAAACCCTTTGAACGTATAATTCATGACTAGTAGGGGTCTTCCTTGTCGTATTTAGCTCAAGTCACTCAAATTGCATTCACAAATGGAAGGCATGGAGAAAGGTCACATGAAATTACAATAAGGCACAGTTACACTACTTCAGACATGTAATGGACATGACAAATGAATTCCGTGTGTGGTACATGCTGTTACAAGTTACAGAATGCCATCGTGCATTTGGTGAGCTGTACTTGAAAGGAAATTTGACATTGGAGTTTACCCAAACAGCGTTAATAGTCCTCAAAGACTAATCTTGTTATTTCTTTGCTTCCAGCTTCCCACAGAACTTGTTCCATCTCTCACTAAACAGATTCACACTCAGCAACTCAGATGTGTATCCACCTACTGTCTTTAATCATATCAGAGGTTTAAGCAACAACATGCGAGTTTCAACAGGAAAGCAAGACTAGAATAGCAAATAAAGCACAGTGCAGTCAAAGGAAAGTGGGATGACTACAAAACAAAAAATTACCTTTAGATGCTGATGCATACAGTAACGACACACCTTGTGCTTTATCTCCTGTGAAACATGGCTGGAAAAAGGAATGAAGCCACATTTTGGCTAAAACAAACAAACAAACAAGATTATAAATATAAATGTTTTTCTTTATATAAGGGTACACGATATGCAAATCTTTGCAATTAAAGGAAACTAAAAAACAAAGAAACAAACAAATCAGTCAACATCCAACACTTAAAAGCTTAATTGGAAATAACATACAGTGACATATATTATTTTAGAGTCCTCACTTAAGTAATAAGGACACACAAAACTGCTGTGGCCTACAAAGAAGCCTACTAATATCTGGGAATTTCCCAAGTTTTGAAAGATCAGGAATTGGAAGGAGGAGGGGGATATTTCATCCTATGGGTCATAGTGAAAGCGGTGAGCTCTGCCTTATCCCACTGCTGCATTCCTTTGAAACTGCTCTGGTCAGTATGTGCTTAAAAAATGCAAACAAAACCCCCAGAAGGATCTTCTCCTATTCAATACCTTAATCTCTATGCAGAGGATTGGCCGGTGTTCCACAAAACGATAGGTCTGCAGCCTGGTAAGATTAGGAAGGCACATTGCATAACCACTAAGAGTGTCCATATCTTTATCACAGCGAGACTCTGGGGAAAACAAAAAAAAAACCCAACACAAACAAGAAAATTAGGTGCGTGGGTGTTTATTTTACTCTGTAGTTATCTTGTTCACCAGGTTGGGGGGTGGGAACAAACTTAGAAAGACAGGGCACAGTTTAGCAGGCTTTAGCCGATCATGCACTTGCATAAATCTGCCCTCCCCATTATCAAGGCCTGTCTTCAGCTTCCTCAAAACTGTCATAGGCATATAGAGTGCCTCGAGAGCTGCTTTTAATGGCTGGTTTCCTGCTCATCCTAAGAGAGAGATCGGTGAGAGGCCTGCAACAGCAAAGGAGTGCATTCAGTTGGCCGACAGGAGGTAGAGAGACTTATTACTGTATTCAGAGATGTGATCTCATGTTTGCTTACCAGAACTGCATGAACTACCATCCCTCAGTCTAGTCAATAGGAATCTCTGAAAACTGGCAGGAATACCATAAACTGTTCAGAAGTTCAGGAGAAAGTATAAATCTAAACAGAACTTGCCAATGGCTTTGCTCAACAACTTAATCTGTATGTAGCCTCTTCCTACCCATTCCAGTGTTTACATCAAAATAATAAGTAGATGAAAAGGAACATAGAAGGAACAAAAGTTAGCTTCCCCCTCCTCACAAGCTCACAACTTCGAACAAGAATTTCCTTTGCCAAGACCACCCTTTTAAAAATAGCATTTTTTAATATAGTCCAGATTAACAATCCTGAGAAGAAACAAAGAAGCAAAATGGTTTGAGACTGAGATTAAGAGGCATTATGTAGATAAAGCCTTTAAATAACCTCCCTCCGCACGCGTCCTTTGGGATGGAGAAAGGTATGCGAGATTTTAATTCAAATTTAACAAGAACATACACTCCTAGGTTTTCAGATATCTATGTTACTAGAGACATACAGAATACATATGTTCTGTTATAGTTTACATTGCTAAGAAAAACATCCATTCTGAAAAATATATTGCAATAGGAAAAGAAAAAACCTCAGAAACAGAATCCTCATTAGGCAGCAGCCTGCAATTACATGCTGTACTTCACTAAGGATGAGCAAGAAGAAACCTTCTTTCTCCAGCAAAATGCTGAGGTTTGTTTCTTTTTTCTGAACTTAAGCAAAAGTACATTTTTGTTCAGCTGGAAACCACTTGCCAAATCAGATACGCCCAGAAATCTGAAGTATTGCAGAAGTTCCTTCTTAAGGTAGACAGGCTTATTGTGAAAGGTAATATTAAAGGAAATTCTTTCCTCGAGGTTTAAAAAAATTCCTGTTAAAAATTAACAATGAGATTTGCTGTTGTAAAGCAAGAAATACCACTTGGACAGCTCCTCACAACCACATTTCCTCCTCTAAAGAAATCACCGTGAGCTGCAGACACACAAAATTTAACTTTAAGAAATAAAACTAAATTCTATCATTCACTTCTACCAGAGTATCATTGATCTTGTAACTTTTATTACACGTTATTTACTTTCCTTGCTAGTTCCACGGTGCCAGAAACCGTTTCTCAAAATGGTCAGGACAAGTCAGCAACAGAGAGTGTCCTGTGCTCACTATATGTAAATTAATTCAATTTTTTCCTGGCTCAAAGGCATCAAAGTACTGGCTACAGTTACCAAAGAATTTAATACCACATTTTTTTCAAGGAATTCTGCTAAAGCAGGAGTTTCAGGCCATTTGCAAGAACATTTGAGAACGTAAGATGAACACACCACGAGGGACATCTTCCCTTTGCCCATTTTAGAGTTCACACCTCACTGTACTTTCAGCCATACATGAAGAATGATGCACCCAAGTGTTGCTGACTAAGAATGACGACACCAAATTCTGTAGCAGTTCACAATGAATGCATCAGAGATTGCCAAACTTCAAGTCTTGCAGCATGTTTCAAAAGGTTTCACATGGTCAATGCACCCTTACCTCGTGCACCTGTCCCCTTCAATCCCTGCTCCTGTCCAAGGGGACTAGAAAAGCATACTCACAAGTTACCACTGGACAGGAACCCCAGAGCACCACATAAGAGTCGGGAGAAATCAAGCACAGCCCCAAAGCCCAGAGATGCTCATTAAACTTTAAAGGCAGCACAGCCTGTAACACTGCAACCCCTTGCAATGAGACGTGCCAGCTATCAGGAAAAGAGACATGAGAAGCTGGAACATTAAACTGCACACTGCCTGGATGCTATGACTCGTAAGATGTGAGGTCCTTAGCCCCAAGTGAAATACTAAAATTGACAACAGGACAATTTAGTGGGAAGTTTCTGAAACTATCTTCCTTCTAAAGCTCTGCTGCACGGTCCAGAAGAAACTGATGGAATTGAAACAATTATTTCAGGATGCATCTTCCACCTCCCTCACTGACCTTTGTAAAGGACTTCACAGCAAGGTGAAAGCTTGTTCAAGATTTAACAAATACAGGCTTGCAGAGGATCCCTTTCCCCAATTTAATGAAACCAGTATCAGACACAATTTTTAATTCTAGAACACACTCATTTTTCCACAACAACTCTTCAACGTGTCACTGTCCATTACTGAAAAAAGTTTCCTCATATTTTGAGGTATGATTCTTTATTTTATAATAAAGCACAATGCTTTACAGCTTGAGGAAAGCCCTCTTTTTAATGCTATCTCTGGCACTTACCTGGCCTCTCTGGCTGAATTTTTAAACAGAGCTGTCTTACGAAGTCTAAAGGCAGTTGAATAATTTCCTATTAAAAAAAAAAAAAAAGAAATATATATTTCAGCAGAAAAATTAATATACAGTTTGGGGGTCTTAAAATGGAATACCGAAGTTCAATGGATGTTAACAACAGTATACTAAACTATATAATCAGCAGCTTTTCCCTCTGATTAACTGTCTATATGAAGACCTGCACCTGCAATCACATGCAATACTTACTCCCCTATGAAACCAAGAACTAATCGAAATAAATACATGAAAAGAGCGCATTTTCAGCACAGGTTTAATGTGAAGAAACTTGCATCATTTTGTCCTTTTCACAAATGAAAGGGTCCCATTTCAACCCATCCCATGTCTCACATCCCACCCTTCCAAGGCAGAATTGTGTACTCAAGTTCTAGCAGAAGGTGTAACTTTTCCACTCAGGTATCTGATGTTCAGTTAACTAGTTCCCGCCGCCCTGAAGAACAGAGTAAGTGGCAAGGAAAAAGGTTATCTCTGATTGCGCACAGACCTAAGCAATTCACGTGAACCAGATTTCTCCCCTTGTTTTGCAGTTAGTCTAAAAATACTCTCTCTCACATCTCTCACCTTATGCAGGGCACAGAAATGACCACTCTTCTCATTAGTAGCTGAAATAGCTCAAACCACAGACTACAATGCAATCACCTCATCGGCACAGAGCGGGATCTTTGTTCTGATCCAAATGCTTCTTGTGTGTGTATATCGCTCAAGAATATCTGCAAACCCTATTAATTTCTTTCACTGGCGTTCAGTGTTCCCCAAAACACTTCAGTGTTTACAGTGCATAAGCCATTTATTTTAAGAATAAAACATTTACCCCATGGTGAACATAGTTCTCCCCAAAGAACTGCTTCATGACATGTTTTCCAAAGTCTACGATGTTTTGCAGATGGTGTAGTATTTCCTCTGAAGTCTGGAAGACAGAAACATGGTAATTTAACTATGAAATAATGATAAACAACACTCAAGAATACATACACACACTAGTCAATGATTTAGCAAAGTAGCTTAATTGTTCTACAGAGTTTGGTAGGTCAGTGCACGTTGAAATTAAATGTCTGCTACATTTGTTTCCCTGCTGTTGTCTGAGAGGCTGGGATAACCAGGAAAATGGCCAGAAGAGATGATATTCTTAAGTTTCAGGGGGAAAAGGACAGAGAAAATGGAAAAGGTGGAAGAGGGGGAGAGATCTACTCTGTCTTTGACCATTATTCTTAAAACAGCTCAAAGGACTGTAATAGTCAAAAGAGATGCACAGCATGCCTTCTTACCAACAGGTGAAGTGCAGGAGTGTTATAAAATACTTCACCTGGAGATTTGGAAGAGAATGGCCTAAAGACTGAGCCACATAACAAACCTCTTCATGAACAGGTACAGAATTTGCTGAATCCTGCCCCGGACAATGAAAAAATCTTACTATAATGTCATCTTCCATTAATTTTATGTTATGTGTCTATAAGGAAACATCAAAGTTCTTCCACGAGACAAAAATGCCAAGCTAGATAGAAACTAAGCTAAATGAGTACTGGAAGCAGGATGGCGACATTAGTGCAGTCTGACTCCGACAAAATTCTGCTTATTAGAGGTAGCAGAGCAGCTTTACAACACTATTATCCCATTCCCAGCACTCCAGCATACTCTGGTTCTCTGCACAGTATTTTACTGTTAAGACAGACAATCTCCAAGATCCTGTGTCCTTTTGTAACACAAAGCTTTTCTGGAAAAACACTACTTTGCCTACCACTGTATATTATAAAGCACTGAGCCATACAGATTTACACTTGGGATTGAGTAACAGTGGAGGAAGAGAAAGTGCAACACTGATGTCCAAGTTAGAAAATCAGAGAGGAAAAACAACAGGAGCAAAAAAACCCAAACAAACAGAGCAGAGTAAGAGAAAATAAAATGCTAGGAGGACAACGCTCACATAATGACAAAGTCTAGAGAAAGGAGGAAAGACCACACCCAACACAAATTAAAAATGTTTATAGGTAAAAGGAGATTGTCACTAACCAAGCAAGCTTACTAACTTTGTTTTATAATACCGTCATAACAGGTAGATTTTTCTTTTTTCCCCACCTGGAAGGGTTTGTTACCTAACAAGCTTACACAAGTTGTGTAGGACTAAGAAAGATTAGTTTGTTACTGTAACACAGGTCTGCTAAGGCTACACAGCAAGTTTTATATTCTTCCTCTAGCAGGATTCATTTTCCAGACTGAAGCAGCAATACGCAATAATGCTTTACAGAAAGAAAAGTCACAACAGCAATATACATTACTAGACACTTACTTCAGTAACATACTGTACTACATACTGTTACTTCAGTATGCACAGAACTAACCAAAAAACCCAATCCTTTGCACCAACTAGGAAAACCACAATTTTTCCAAAGCAATTCCACAGCATTTCCATCATTCTATAAAGGCCAGGACAGCACTGACTCTTTAAAATGCTTGGCATATTGTACATGGAGTTGTTTCTCAGAACAGCTCTCCCTGAATCCTTTTGAGAGCCAAAATAAGCTTGGAGTCTCTTCACAACAGGCAACCTTCCTCCACTGCTTGAGTCTCAGAACAAAACACACACTATGATGCCTGAATAACCTTCTCAATTATAGTCATCTGGTCTAAAGAAGCGTATTTAAGAAAGAATAATTAATAGGCAACAAGATGTGCGAGCAGGCCACCCACGTGGGTATGCAAAAGGGTATTTTACAGCAGCGTTGCTCAATCTACGCTTCCCAGAAAGGCCAGTGCCCCCATCACTAGTGCTGAACACACCAAGGTCCATCAGAGAGGACTGCTGGCAACCCTAGCTCCTTTAGTCCTCACCACCAGAGGAGACCACCGCTGGGGAAATCCCTGCTCCCCACCCCTCCACTCTCACCCTGAGCAGACTGCAAACACACTGTATCCATCCTCCCTTGTGTTTCATTTGTTCCAGGCTGAGGGAGAAGTTGCTTTGCAGAGGGGAAGACCCTCCCGCCCACCCCAGCATTTTAAAGCATCAGTAGTTACAGTATCTTCCTCACCTGATGAAGTGAGAAGCAGCAATTCTGAGCACATACTATAGCAAAAACTTCAATTTATATACAGATTTCTGCCCTTTTAATGACAACGTAACCCTTTCTTTAACTTATACAAATTCTGAATGGTGAGAAGGAATGTTACATTATCTCATACAGTAACAGAAATCTCAGCTAATTCCCTCTTAGAGGTTATTCTGACCTAGTTTGCTGATGTGCACAGTACCCACAGGCTTTTTTTTTTTTTTTAACATATATATATGTATATGTATACACACACATATATTGGGAAATAAGCATTTTGGAATATCAGGACATTCACTACTACTACTACTACAAGGAAAGACTCACCAGTTAAAAAGATCAATATAACTTTAAAATTACAAATCAAGCTTATGACACCTGTTTACCTCCTTTTAAGAGCAAGTATATTTGCTGTACTCTAAACAAGAAACAACAACTACCAGGCTACTGGAGCATCACCTTTCAACATTAAAAAACACTAAGATGAAAAGCTTTTGAAGGACCTGTCATTACTGACAGCTCATTTAGCAAAACACTAAAACTCATCAAATAGGTTCTATACAACAAAAAGGCAAAAAATTCATTCATGCAGAAGACTCATTTACTAAAATCAGCAATATGCAATTAAAATAATTCCATGAGTCCTGACACTTTCTACTCGAGAAATGCAAGCCCAATAATTACATTCATTAAAACACTGAACTGTAACAATAAGATTACAATTTGCAGTAACACCACCTTGCTTAACTACTACATTATCTAGTCCCAAATTCATAACCAAATAGTATAAATACAAAGCAGCATCCAGGCTTCTTTACCTTTTCCAAAGCAGTTAAGCAGAAGAGACTGAGACACATTTGTCCACATATGAATTTCAGTATGCATCTTACTAGAAAATATTTTGCTTCAGCTGCTGCTTTCAGAGTTGTTTACACTGGATGAGCTACAGTGTCATGCACAGGTATATAACACTTTATATCCTAACTCATCTTGCACTAGTCAGGAATACAGATTACACCTAAAAAACATTTTCTCCTCTACGGCTGTCATGTTGCTGCATCCAAGTTTGTCCCAAAACTCTGATTCTCCAGGTCATGTTTATAGATCTTTAGATAAAATATTTAGTCTTCTTCAAAATGATCCTTTGAAAAAAAAAAAAAATCAATCACCAGAATAATTAAATATATTCAAATTACATAATCTTCTACTTAGAGATCAAAGCCAAAAGTAACTGTGTATTATAAAGTCCACAGGCAAGACCATGCAATCACAATACAAGGCAAACACAGAATGCTGGAGCTGGCCACAAGCCAGCTCTCCTCAAAACGTAGCACTTCTACATGTAACAGAGGAGTTTGCTTTTACGGTGTGCATTTATCAATCCAGAGTGTGAACTTAGAGAGACAGTTTAAATCACTTTCAGAGGTATGCTCCACCACAGTGTGCATCCACAAACAGCCTTTTTGCTGTTACAGTAACAAGAAGATAATCATTTCTGTCTGGGCCAACTCTGAATGGAAGTTTCGCTAACAGTTTCTAGAAAGCAAACTCTTGGTGCTTCATCAGCTACAGCCCACGCAAATACCTACTGCAATCTATTTCTATGCTTGGAAGGATTCTGAGCAATTTTACTAATCTGATTACATATTACATTCAAGAACCTGACCAGTGTTCAAATACTAACAGAACACCATGCCTGGGAGATTTTTTTTCCTTGTGTTTTGCTATCCCAGTCCAAAAAACTGTATGCATACCAAGGCATTCCACAGAAGTATTATCAACTTCAACGCTGTGGTGGGTAACTGTAAAAGGTCACTTCCTGGCTTCCTTTGCGACTTCATCATACTTTGTCTATTTTTTAAAAACAATTAGTATACAACAATCTCTTCAGACTTTAAAACAAAACAAACAAACAAAAAAAAACCAAAAAAAAAAGAGGAGGGGAAAAAAGCTGGTACTCAGTGTTTCACTTTCTTAAATAAATGGCAACAGACTGACTTTTTACTTAAACTTGTGGTCTAATTCTCCCTGCTATATTAAAAATTGAGACAGGCACTGTTTTCCTTTCTTCCAATCCACTGGGTTCTTCCCTGTTCTCATAAAAACTCTAAACATTATCATCTTGAACTACTACAGAAGCACAGGATACATTTTTGAAATCCTGCCACTATAAGCAGATCAAAAACTTACATGAATCACACTTCAGTTTTACCAGACTTTTTTTCAAGTAAAACAGTAGCAGAAAGGCTATCAAATAACTCGTACATACACTGTGTTCATGGGTTTTACTTTCCTCTGCTTTCCTCTGACCTACTTTAACAAGGGACAAAAGAGATGTTTATAAACTGGACGCATTTTGCATCCATCTTCCTGATTTAAAGCAAAACACCCTTCCTATATGTTTACTTTACATTCATCCTTGTTTCTTTTTTCCTAAAATTAAGCACTCACCCCCAGCTCTCAGTATAGCCATAATGCTTATTATATTTCTTCCTCATCAGAACAGTCTGCCACTGAACCTTACAAAGCCGTGGTTCAGAAGCTGCCGTAACTCAAGCCATTCCCTGTATCTCTAAGGTAACACACCACAAAGACTACTCACAAGGTTGAGGAAATGGCAGAATTTGAAGCTCCTGCCTCTTGTACTCTTCCCCACCCCACCCCCCCCCCTTGGAGCACTGTCTTGACACTGCACTTTTACCTTCCACCTTTGATTCTTGATCATTTTTTATCTCTGTCAAAGCAAATCTACGGTATATCACTTCAGCTCCTTCTCAAGCAGAAAAACCTTCTGCCACAGTCCAAAAAACTGGTAGACTGTGGGCCACCATGTTCTTTTTGCAACAGACAGCACACTAAAATCACTCACTGACAAAGGCTATTCTGTGAATATTTCATATTTTTGTCCAAATTCCATGGCTTTTTAGCTACTGTATAGGTAATCAAGAGCAGACCTTTATCATGACACCAGCCCTGTGCTGTTCCTCTTCTGTCCCACCTAGCAAGTCAGTAAAACTGTCATTTCTTCCTCAACATCACCCCACTCTCATACATTGATGTGCAATATTAACACCTTCGCTATTGCCACAGCTATCCTTACAGAAAGCTGTACTTTCTACACACTGCAGTCTTACAATCTGTCCCACACAAAGGTCTTGATATCAGCAGTCACATAATCTTAGTTACGTAAGAAGACCTCAAATTTCCTCCTGTTGCCAAAACTCCCGAAACACAGGCATATTTCAAAACATCCCCTTATTCTTACTCCTGTCAGTCACAGTTCTTTCACAGGTTTCCTGTTTCTCTTCAGACTGGTTATTAGTTTACCTGGGGGCTTTTATCAACAGTACATGCTGAAACTTACCTTATTCTGGTTTGGGGGGGACTTCAAAAACCGCAGCACCACGCAGCGCTAAAGAAAGATAGGAAAAAATATGGTTTCATTAGCATTTAAGTATATCGTAATTTCTGAACATCACAATTGTCCAATTCCCCTATCTACCTCATCTGAGAAATGAAGAAAAAAAAAAGGCAAAATAGGCATTTTAGATGGTTGTTTCACTCAACTTGAAATTGAGTACATGAACGTCTGACCCCAGATTTGCCATCACTTTAACAAGGCGGCCACTCTGCGCTTCCAGTCACCAAGTGTAACAGGGGAAAACTCCCTTAGCTTATAGTGCTGGTCTGAAAATCTGGTAAAACACAGCATGAAACAAACAGAAAAATACCCTATAATTTTTATGCCAA